GGAGCCTGCGGGCGCGCTCTCCTAGGGAGCTGTCCCGCGGCGCTCAGGTGCTCGCCGAGCGCCCCCTTCGCGCTGCCCGCACCACGGTGGGTCCTGAGAAGTCCCTTAGGCGGAAGGTGGCAGCGGTTTTTTTTGTTGTTGTTGCCTGGGTGGGGCGGAGGGGAACAGTTTTAACTTGTTGCAGTTGGCAGGAAGTTGGAAAGTGAAAGTGCTTTCATGGCTCGCCCACGGGCCGGAGGTTTGCGTCTCCCCTCTCTTTGATCTCGGGGTGTGCGGCTTCACGCCGCATTCTTCCCTTCCCCGACCTCGCTGTCTATCCCGCCACGGCCACGGGTTTTTCTTTCTCTCCTTTTCAGCCGCCCTCTTCGCTTACTGTACAGCCGTGGCAAGCTTTTCCTCCGAAAAGCATTTGGAAACATCTTTTGGGCGAGGAATCTTTTAACAGGCGTCCGCAGAAAATAAGGGGAATTTGTTGGGTGAAGTCAGAAGACACAGTTGGCTTTTTCTCGAGCCGCCGTTGCAATTTGAAGGTTAGGTCATTTAAGTAAGATTTTTTTTTCTGCAGAACGGCTGCCTGTGTGTCGTTCTAGGGTCAGATTTCTTCTCCCTTCTCCCTGCGCACAGAACTTGAAGCTTCTGTATTTCCGGCTGGCAGTGGTGTTGTTGTTGAAACAGTATGATTCAACTTTTCCCCCGTAGGAGCTCTTTGTTCTTTGATCCTTGGTTTTTATTTAAAACTGGAAACTGCTTACGAGGAGTTCATTATATTTTGGGGAGATACTTTTTTTTTTTTTAAAGATTTATTTATTTATTATGTATACAGCATGTATGACTGCAGGCCAGAAGAGAGCATCACATCTTGTTACAGATGGTTGTGAGCCACCATGTGGTTGCTGGGAATTGAACTCAGGACCTCTGGAAGAGCAGTCAGTGCTCTTAACTTCTGAGCCATCTCTCCAGCCCCGGGGAGATACTTTTTTAAGCTTTGGGATACCATTATATATTTGAGGTTGGGGATGTACTGAGTGATACTCTGTCACCAGAACAAAAAAGAGGAAAAAGATCCCCTTTGCGTAGGATTCTGTGGCTCATCTTTGCTCTCCCCCTTCCTCCCTCCCTTCTTGTGCTGGGTATCAAAACCAGGGTCTGCAGCTCGTGTTCATCAGCTGATCTGCATCCCAGGCTTGGCGAAGGTAGCTGTTTTCATTGCCTAGCTGCAGAGCTAGCCATCTAAGGCCAGTGTGCTAGACGAGCACTCCACCACTGAGCCGCTCTCCACCCCCCTCCCACCCTCTTTCAGTGTGGTTTAGAGATTGGTCTTTGAGTGGTTTTTTTGTTTTGTTTTTGTCGGAGCTGAGGACTGAACCCAGGGCCTTGTGCTTGGCTAGGCAAGTGCTCTACCACTGAGCTAAATCCCCAACCCCTGGTCTTTGAGTGTTAAACCTTTGCCAGCATTTAACCTGTCACCGATCATATTCCTTCATTTGGATCCATTGAAGTCTACCTTTGTTATATTTCTAAAAACCTTTTGGCCAGGTGGTGGTGGCACACACCATTACTGGCAGGTCTCTCACAGTTCCAGGACAGCCAGGGCTGTTATACACAGAGACTCTGTCTCAAAAAACAACAACAACAAAACTAAAAACCAAAACAAAAAACCTTTGAAACTGTAACTGTTGTTAATTAGACAAGTCTCTGTCCATGTATGTTTCTGTTCCTGTCTGTCAGTATGTAGCCAGGCTGACTTCATCAGCCCTCCATCCTCGTGGTCAGGAGAGCCAGGGTTATAGGCTCGCACCCGGCCTGTTTCTCCTCTGCTTGTCTTCTGGTTTGGTTTTATTTTGTTTTTGAGACACCATCTCATGTAGAGCTGGCCTGGAACTCACTTTATAGACTGTGCTGGCCAAGAACTCAGGTCCAACTGCCTTTGCCTCAGAGTGCTGGGATTAAAGGTGTGCACCACCATGCCAAGCCCAGTTCTCTATTGTAGTTGAGGAAATCATTGAAGTTCATAACTAATATCACATTTGTAGGAGCTAAAGTGAAGAATTTCTACTGTCTATCTAGGAGTTCATTGAAAGAACAGCCTGACACCAAAATTGACTCCTGGGTTGAGGGTTGTAGCTCAGTAGTAGAGCCCATGTTTACTGTGTGAAAACCTTGGGTTTGATCCCCAGCACTACAAATTTTTAGTGCTGTTTTTGCTGTTTTGAGGCATGGTCTCTTATAGGTCAGGGTGGCCTTGATTTGTTGATTCTCTGCTTCCCAAGAGCCGAGTTTATTGTAACAGACCAGCTGTCCTGGAACATGCTGGCTGTGAACTCAGAGATCTACCTGCCTCTGCTTCCTGTGTGCTGGAATTAAAGGCGTGCACCACCAGGCAAGGCCCTGCAGACATTCTTGACATGAAGGTGGTGTCTGAAATGTGCTCTTCCCTTACGCTCCTATTTATGAGTAGTTTTAACAGGCTGGACTAGGATATAATTGCCAAAATTGGAAAACTAATAAAAAGAATAAGAATAGACATAAGAATTGCCGTAAGAATAGACATCATCAAAAAAAAAAAAAAAAAAAGTCTGTTTGGAAAACTCAGAACAATGACAGGGATCACTTCCTCCCCTGCCACAATGGAAATGGTAGCTACTGTTTTAACTCCGCTTAAGTGAAGCTGTAGGGAAGATGTCGAGTGGGCTCTTTGTGGATCGGTGTTGCGGTCTCTGGTGTTTAATGCTAGCAATGCTCTTGCCGGCTGGAGAAGAGGCTTCTCTCAGGAGCAGAGGTGTGCATGGCTGTTGAGGGAGCCTGGGATTCCTGTCTCCCTTTCGCCAGCCACTCTGATCGTGGGCTGCATCCCCTTTCTCATTTTTGGATTCAGTATCTGTCCAGACAGCGTCAGAACTGGTAACTAAAGACGAACGGAGGGCATTTTCATGCTGGAGAGCAATTCTAGAAACCCAGACATTCTCCTGGCTGGTGCTCTAATCTGTCCTCTGAGTCATGTGTTGTTAGGCTTAGTCTTCTCATGCCTGAATTTTGTAATGCTGGCTGTGTTAGGTTTGTTTGTTTTAACGTCTTCATGGGAGTACCATCACCTGCCGAGAGCACACAGTCGAGGGCTTTTTAATGCACACGGAATGGAGTCACTGCAATCTTAGTTGAGAACGTTTTCAGCACCCTAAAAGAAGCCTTGTGGTCATCTGCTTTTATTCTCCAATTTTCTCCCCACTGCTCCTTCCACCCCGTGCTTCTCCATCTACCTCAGTGGCTCAGCCACAGTGATCTCCGTTTGTCTGTGGAGTGGTCTGGTCTGAACACTTCATCTCATTGGAGCCATCCACTGGCCCTTTGTGGCTGGCGCTTTGCACGTCTGTCCCGTTTTCAAGGCTCATCCGTGCTGTCAGTACTTGGTATCTTTCTTTTT